GGGTGGGGAGGGGAAGGGGGGGTGGGGAGGGGAAGGGAGGGGAGGGCCATGGGTCCCGTGTGGTCTGTGTTCAGTGGGGCCTGTGCCTCTGCGTTGGAGTCTCCCAGTGCGTCTCAGGGTCACCCCCAACCCTTTAGGGAACACAAGATGGCTGACGTGGGCTGGGGCTGGGCACTCCCCTTCCTCTGGCCAGCTAAGCCCTGATGAAGCCCCAGCAGGTCAGGCTGTGCTGAGGCAGTTTCCCCTGCGGGCAGGCCTGTGAAGAGCACATAAGCCTCTGGAGTATTTTACAATATCCTGTCCCTCCCGCTACTGGAGGCCTAAAGGCATTTAGGGCACTCTTCTCGGGTATTTCCTATGAGAGCCCAGCTGGGCTCCTGGAGGTCAAGTTCACAAGGCAAGGGGGCTCCATGTCTGATGTCTGAAGTCCTGTGCCGATGGTACCAGTGTGATGCGGGTGGCTGTGCAGGGTCCGCCTTGGCAGCCGTCCTCAGACAGTGTCCGTGCTCTCTTGTGTTGGTACTTGCATTCCTATTTTCAGGACACCTCACTCTTGGATGGCCGGGTGACGCTTCTCCATGTTCCGGGAGGCACGGTGGTGTCGAGGCAGGGAGACCAGGTGAGCAAAAGTCCATGGTCGGAGGGAGTGGCCACCAGGGCTGCCCAGTGCTGTAGCCAGTGCTGGATAGGATGCAGGGTCTGTTGTCACTGTTCCTGAGGGCGCTCTTCCCCTGGGGCTTGTGGAGGTGTCTGCAGCCATGTTGTGAATCACTGAGCCCGCCCTGTTTGTGGGGGTGGGTGCGTGTGCACACTCACAGACGCACACGTGCTTGCATATGTGTGAGGGTCATTACTGAGCTCCTAGGTGCAGAGGACATGCTTTTGTTTTCTCAATTCCTAAGTCCAAATACAGATGAAAAATACATTTTTCTAAATAAATGAACCTAATTTCTGATTCTGAAAGCCTTGTTGTGCTGGGCAGGCAGGGATCATCTCCATGGCATCTGCCCTCCTGGGAGCTCGTCTCTCTTGCTGCTGGGTGGTCTGGGTGTCCCTCTTTGTAGGAGTTGGGTCTTCTGTGGCCCCTGCACCAGCATGCCGGAAGGTGTTTTGTTTAGTGTGCTCTTAGAGCAGCTTTGGTGAAACAGGTGTTTTTTGCTGGGAGAGCAGACAGAGCATGGGCCCTCCACCCTTGTGCCCGTGTACCTGCTGGAGCGTCACTACACGGGCCCAGGTGACCACAGCCGGCTGAAGACCCAGGGGCAGGACTTGGGGGACAGAGCTCCTAGGCAGCACGAGCCTGTGCCCAGGAACAGTGACATTAGACAGCACAGGCAGAGGAGAAGCATGCAGTTCCTGGGCCGCCCCCTGGCCCCGCCGCGCAGAGCCCCCATGGTGCTGCTGCGCTGACTGCCTGGACCCAGGGGTCTCCAGCCCATATCCCTTGTTTGGTTAGGACGTGAACATCCTCTTTGTGGTCTCGGGGCTGCTGCATGTGTACCAGCGGAAGATCGACAGTGAGGAGGACACCTGCCTATTCGTGGTGCGCCCGGGGGAGATGGTGGGCCAGCTGGCAGTGCTCACGGGAGAGCCCCTCATCTTCACCATCAAGGCCAACAGGGACTGCAGCTTTCTCTCCATCTCCAAGGCCCACTTCTACGAGTGAGTCCCCGCTGGGCCTCGACCTGCCACGTGAGGCCAGGACGGCCTGGGTGGCTCCTGTGCGGGTGGCTGTTGTGGGGCCCACGTCAGGCACCTCTCGGGGCCCTGCCTCTAGCCCTACTCACACCCAAGGAGACAGGAGTTCCAGGGAGAAAGGTGAGGTCAGTGGGGTGAAGTAGCAGGAAGGGCTTGTTACCCTGTGGGGTGGCCACCATGCTCCCTGCCTCTGGAGGCCCGGAGAGCTTCGGGTCCTCTTCAGGAAGACAGTCCAGATCATCCATAAGCCTGGACCTAGACCCTTGTCCACCCCGTCCAGCCCCTCCAGGCCCAGAGGTGTCCTCAGCCTGCTGAGGGAGCCTGATCATCACCCCTGTGTGTGTGTGTGTGTGTGTGTGTGTGTGTGTTGTGGGCTCACGGTGTGTGTCGTAGGCAGCTCCCGCCCTGCACACATCGTCCGACTCATGTCCTGAGAGAGCTCATCTAACCCTGGGCCTTTATGTACTGAATTCACGGCTCCCACCAAACTCCCCTCCTGGCCCCTGTGTCGGCCTGATGTGCTGACCACCCCCTGCCGTGCCTCAGGGGCTTCCTCAGTCATTGTCCGAAACCGAACTGCCGATTTCCCCCCAGTTTTCTCCTCCCATTTTTCTCTTCTCTGTAACTTGTGACTCTATCTGCCGCTTGCTCGGGCAGAGTTTTGGAGTTGCCCCAGCCTGCCGCCCCTGAGCTAACCGTGCCCTTGCTGCTCCTTCTAGAAGCCTTCACAGTATAGGGGACACCCTGCTGCTGCCCTCGTCCCCAGCAGCCGGTTCACACACGGCGACCAGGGAATTGGGTCTGTTGTGTTCCTGCCGGCCAGAGCCTGCCAATTACTCTGTCACGCCCAGAATCGACCCAGAGCGTTCCCAAGGTCCTGCATGGCCGCTGCCCTCTGACCTCTCAGCCTCACCCTCACTCTTGTGCCCCCACTCAGCCCTTTTTCCACACCCACTCTGGTCTTCATGGCACATTGCATCCCACTGCTGGGGTGAGACGTCAAATGAGGCCTGTACTCGGAGCACATCTGTGGGGGCGATGGCAGCTGGCAGGGGCCTCCACAGACTCTCCCAAAGCTGCTGGCGGCTGCGGGGCATGCGCAGACCACATCGGAGCAGGTGGCTGAGTGGTTGCTGAGCTCTGTCCTAGCCCTGGGCCTGTGTCCCTGTCACCTGCTACGTGGCATCACCATTTGATAAGTGTGGGTACAGGTGCCGCCAGCTCCAAGTGCTGTGGCCTGGAGGGAAGGGGGTAGCACCGGAAGGGTTGGCTGTAGGCCTTGCTGGAGCAGGAGTGACTCTGGGCGGGCTTGGCAGAATCATGCGGAAGCAGCCAACGGTGGTCCTGGGCGTGGCGCACACCGTCGTCAAGCGGGTGTCGTCCTTCGTGCGGCAGATCGACTTTGCGCTGGACTGGATGGAGGTGGAGGCCGGGCGCGCAGTGTACAGGTGGGGCCCGTAGGCATGCAGGTCTGTCCCCTGCAGTGTCTCCACTGGGAAGACCAACTCCTCTGGCTCTGCTCCCTGAGGTCCCCACACCCATGTGCTTCCTGGCCCTCCTCCCACGGTGTGCATGTGCACACACTCAGACACGCACACACACACACTTTTTCATGGGCATCTTTCCCTATCAATGTATGCAAATGCAGGCTCTCCTTTAAGATGGCCCAGCAGATGGGAGGTTAGCACAGCCTGTGTGAAGGTGCTCGTGTGCTGAGCGTCTGGCCTCTTAGCTCCACGTCGCAGCAGCAGCTGTGTCCAGAGTTTCACACAGACACGGGCTGTTGCTATCTGGTTTTTATGGTATTGAAAATTAAAATCAACAACATTTAAAATACTTATGTATTTTTTGATGTATTTATTGAAGTTTATTTGAGAGGGAGAACGTGAGCGGGGAAGAGGCAGAGAGAGAGAGAAAGACAGAATCCCAAGCAGACTCCACGCCGTCAGCGCAGAGCCTGACACGGGCTCGAACTCGCCAACGGTACTGCCAGACCATGACCTGAGCCGAAATCAAGAGTCAGATGCTTAACCAACTGAGCTGCCCAAGCGCCCCGAGTGATTATTTGCTTAAAAATCACAATAAGCCCTTTATATGTTAGCGTATGTATTTTTTGATGGAAAATAACTGTATTTTCCCAACCAAAAAAAATTTAGTGAGATTATATTTTTTTAATTGGTTTATTTGCCACCTCAAATGGTAGAGGGCTTCCCGACCTTGCCCCATCTGCTCCATCGGTCTCTGTCCCCACAGGCAGGGAGACAGGTCAGACTGCACCTACATCGTCCTCAGTGGCCGGCTACGCTCTGTGATCCGCAAGGATGATGGCAAAAAGCGCCTGGCGGGGGAGTATGGCCGCGGAGACCTCATCGGTGTGGTAGGGCCAGATTCCCTGTCCCCACCAGGCCCTGCTCCAGGGTGACTCCTGGCTCCTTACCTGGGTGTGGGGAGGGGGCCCTCCAAGTGACCTCATGTGGGGCATGCCTTTCCTGGGGGCCGGCGTGCTCGCTCTCACCCAGGCTGCAGCACCAGGGCTTGGAACGGTCATCCCTGAAGGTCTCCAGAGAGGACAGCTGGCCGGGTGGAGCTGGGAGCCCCTCTGAGAACCTTGTGTAGGATGAGGCCCTGCGGGATGCCCGGCCCCTTTGGCCTCAGGCAGGTTCCAGTACTGCTGGACGCTCACCCTGTCTCAGGCTGTCACTGACGCTCCTCCAGCACTTCAGGGGTGGCTGGACGAGCCCCTTTTCCTCCTGTTTCCCACCCGTATGCCGCCCTGCAGAAGGGCCACCACGTGCTCTGCCTGTGGTTGCGTTCAGAGTGTGGCTGGCTGGGCCTACAGGGCTGGAGGGCGTGAGCACCTCCCCAGCTTCTCTTCCTCAGGTGGAGACGCTCACCCATCAGGCCAGGGCGACCACGGTGCATGCCGTTCGGGACTCAGAGCTGGCCAAGCTTCCGGCAGGAGCCCTGACATCCATCAAGCGCAGGTACCCGCAGGTAAGCACTCCTGTTCCGGGCTGCCTTAGGAAAGCAGGACATCCAGACCATGAACTCGGGACTACTAGACACTGGGCTGCGTCCTTCTGAGTACCAGAGTGGGTACAGATCGAAGTGACCTGAAGCAGGCTCGTTGCCCGTTTTCAAGGAGGTGTCAGTATGGACCAGCAGGTGGGGATAAGTGCCTTGGGGCAGGTGGCTTGGGTGTTGCCAGGAGGTGGGAGGGCTACACGGGAACTCAACAAGTGAAGCCACCTGGCGCCTCCCACAAGATGAGCCACGTCACAGGTGATACTGAAAACCAGTGAGGGATCTCACGACAGGCAGGAACAGGCGTGATGCAAGTGTGGTTTTCGCAGTGGGGGCTTTCTTGCTGTGCTTCTTGGGAAAAGTGGACTCGGACTTTGGACAAGGCAGATTCAGGCTTGGGCGAGTGGCCATTGGTCCAGGCAGTGGACGGAGGGGAGTCTGTTCTCCTCCTGGGGCAGATGGAATGGCTGGTTTTCGTCTCCCTGCTTAGAAGCAGTAAGTGTGCGGCCTGGGAAATGGGAGGGCCTCGGACCCGGGGGTTTGGAGGAGGATCGGGAGCAGAGCCGCTGCAGGAGGAAGAGATGGCCTGTTCTTTCCTCATCAGTGCCATGTGCGCGTTTCGTGCAGACATCTCTGCTCTGGAACAGAGCGAGTTTATTTTACAAAGTTATTTTCACTTTCGCACCAAAACTTGATAAAAATGTAGAAAACTTTCAGTCATTTCTCTTAGTGCTACAAATACTCTAGATGTGAGCAAATCACCTATAAAATATATGTATTTGATTAGGGCCTGTTTAAGGAATGTTAGCCTAATGTTGAGAAACTATTAAAATGTAATTAATTATGGGAAAAAGTCAAAAGGAAGTCTTCCCCTTACGATTATATCAGGGCTTTTGACAAAATTCAGCCACGGGTAGTAAACCCTCTAAATAAAATGGAAGTGAAGAAACCTTTATTCCAGAACACCCAAGTCCAAAACAAGATAGGCCCCTCGTCACCTGACGGAAAAGGTTGAAAAAAATGAAACAATTGGCCTAAGTTTGGGAAAGGAGTAAAAGTTGGATTTGCAGCAAACAGGTATCTTGTTTGTGGAAGAGTGGAGGGTTTACAAGGTGGGCTGGAGCATGTGAGTTGAGACCAGCACAGCCACATGAGGAACTGTGTGCATGTGTGGGGCCCACGCAGCCCAGGGCAGCCTCCTGGTTCCAGCAGCTGAGAGCACCTAGGACGTGGCCCTGCTGTGTCCTACGTGGGATAGGGTGAGTCTTTCCCAGTTGGAAACGAGGGAATGGATGTCTTTCTGTGAACGGTTTAGGGTGTCTTCCCTGGGGAAGCAGCCGGGGGCCACCTGCCCAGCAGGACCTTTTCCTGTGGGCACACAGAGCTGGCTGGGGGAGGCACTGCACCCCCTTGGCATGCCACTGTATATTCTGGCTCCGTTTAGATCGTAATCTTTTACTGTCATCTTTCATTTGGCTGTTCGTGTCCCAGATTTGGTCTCTGGGGACCCCTTAGTCCTGTTGTGCCATGTGCATTTCCGGCCCGGAGCTCTTGGTCACTCTGCTGGAGCTCCCAGGGTCTTCCCTTTCCGTGCCAGCCTCTCCCTCTCCAGCAGTGAGAACATCTGCTCCTGTCTTGAGCTGTTTGTTTAGGAGTGTGTGCAGCTCCTCCCTCGAGGACCCCCCACCACCGCAGAGCATTACCCCACACCAAGCCGCTGCCCACCCCCCCAGTCTTCTACTTCCCCCTGCACCTGCCCGCGGCTGACGCCCGCATCTTCCCTCCCTCAGCACTTCTGCAAGCCCGTGATCTGTGGGAGGATCTGGGCCCAAGTCTGAGGGCCTTGATCTAAGCACCAGGAGACCCCTGTGAATGGCAGAACAGTGGTGGTGGTGGCCAGGGCCAGTACGTGTGCCACCAGCGGCCACGCGATCACTGGGAGCAAGGGGGAGCCAGCTGCTTCCTGTTCTGCAGGGCTGCTCCCTGGTGGGCCCATAGAAAGACCCTCTGCTCACACCCACTCCCCTGGGGGCCCACAGACTTTACCCATGTGCAGCTCCCAGGAGCTCGTGGTGCGTCCCGATGCTTCTCCATCACACGCTGGCTGCCCCTGGGCTAACTACCACCGTGTGTGCTCTCCCGTAGGCACTGGCCTGGCCTAGATCCCGGGCTTGCTTGCTTGGTGCCCTCCAACACAGGGGACCGCTGGCCACTCGGCCCCGTGGGGCGGCTGCTGCCAGCACGCCACCCACCACCACCGTCCTCTCTGCGTCTGTGCTTGGATTTTGTGTAAACGAAGTGTGTTCTGTCCAGCTTCTGTTGCCCGGTGTGGTGTCTGAGGTCTGTGTCCTGTTGACATGTACTTTTTGCTGCAAAGCAGTGTCCCACCCCGCGCCAGGGTGCACTCATCTGTCCTGTTGATGGATATTTGGTTGTTCCCAGCTTGAGGCTTTTCTGGAAATATTTTCATGGCACGTGTTTCGTTTCTCTTCGGAACCACTTGACACTGGCATTGCCGGGTCAGAGGGTGGACATATGTTGGATGTGGTTGCCCGTGTGGTTGTACCAGTTCATGGCCCCAGCAGCACGCAGCCTGTCACCAGGCGTCAGCACTTGGTGGCTGCACTCGTTCGTTCCACAGGAAATGGCTCTCCTTGTGCTTAGAATTTCCCTGATGACCAGAGATGTTGAGCACCTTTTCGTATGTTCATGGGCTTATTTTGAACCTTTTTCACTTGCTGTAGAAATGATCACTTTTTAAATTAGCCTTAATGAGAATTATTATAAATTTGTAACTGTGATAATTATACCATGTGTATGTTTTTAAAGGCTCTTTTAGAGATACAGATTCAAATATTAATGGATAAAATGCTGTGTTTGGGATTGGCTTCAAACCTTTTCAGGTGTGTGTGTGAACTGATTGTGGCTGGGTGATGGAGGGTGGGGTTCGCCCTTGTGTATCGTGAAATTTTCCACAATAATGTGTGGTTTTAAAATTAGCTCCAAGTAACAGTTTGTTGCTAGATTACTTATATACAAACCAGACTCCTTTTTAGTTTCTCTTTTGGACCACTGCTCAAACTGTTTTTTGTCTCGCGCCTTAAAACGTGGACAGTTTCACTTGCCTCGTGCATGAGTCTTTGACTCCAACATCGTGGGGGTGAGAGAGGTTCTCTGAGTTGGTTTTCCAGGGCTGTTGGTTACTGGAGCCTAAGGTCTCAGCCGGCTCCTTCCAGGGGCAGCCCCAGAGCTCAGGGCTGTAGATGGTCAGAAAGCAAACCAGAGGCTGAGGCCTGGAGAGGCAGAGGACAGCAGACAGGCAGCATCCAAGGGACCTCATCAGTGTCTTCAGCTTGCTTTCTGATATAATTTAGGTTTTACTGAAGCTGACAGCAGCTTCTCTTTACACGGTGGCCCTGGACTGCATCTAGGAGCTACAGTGGTAGGCCGCCTGCATAGTGTAAACCCTAGCAATGAAAACATCTGACTTTATATGAAAGTATGTATGAGTAAATTGTAAATATCTTGGCATTCCAACCTTAAATACTTTGTCTATAACATTTAGCATTAATGTAGCCATGTAATACTTCCTGGGTGTCATGTCATACTCATCCCGTGTCCTGCCCAGGTCTGGCCCGCTCAGGAGCACACAGTGAGCCCTTGGCTCTATGGAAGCCCTTCCTGGCCTGCCTGTGGAGGTGGCTGTGGCTTTCTCTGGTGCTCTCGTGCCCTGGAAGTAAAAGGAGACTCTGGGACAGGCTCCAGGTTACAGGGCATGTGCCCCTCACGCCTGCTGCCTGCAGTGGACTCTACGAAGGCACCCTATAGAGTTAGGTCCTACCTGCAGGTGACCAGCCAGCCAACCACACTACCCACAGCCCACAGCCCAGAGGGGTTTACAGAAGTAGTGATTTTGAAAATGTGGATCCAAGGTGCTTCGCTTCTTGGTTTAAATGTGTGGTCTCCTTTCTTTCTCTGCCCCCAGGTTGTGACTCGGCTGATTCATCTCTTGGGTGAGAAGATTCTGGGCAGCCTCCAACAGGGAACTGCTTCTGGTATGTCCTTGGGCCTGGCTCCTGGGAGCCCTGCCTACCTCGCTGGAGCCCTGCCTGGAGGGAGTGGGGGAAGCGAGGGGAGAAGGGGTGGCAGGAGGGGTGTGGTGGCCAGGGTGGGGCAGCTCTGAGCTGGTGGGGAAGGCGCTGGGGTTTGCTGATATGGGTACTGGCAGCAGGCAGCATGGTAGGGAAGCCCTGGGGCCTCCCCTGTTTTTTGGCCTCTGGATGGCACGGATCTGAACCCAGCACTGGGGCAGGTGCTTGAGGGAGTCTGGCCTGTCTGAGCAGGTGAAACAATTCTCTGATGCTGGGACTCTTCCTGCGAGCTTATGTGTTCTGTTCTGGTTCTAATTCTGAGAATGTGCGCTTTTAAATACTTGCTAGATCCCCTGTCCTGTTCAACAGCAGCTGGTTCCTCCTCACTATTTTGGGACCACCTGCTGCCCCCTTGGCCTGCAGCCCCTCTGCCAGAGCCCCCTCATCAGACCCCTGCACCCACCTGGCCACCCCAGTGCCCTCTGCTCCTCAGCTCCCCTTTCCCACTTCACTTGAATGCCCTGACTCACCCCACACCTCCCTAGCTCTGTCTCCTGTGCCAGGACTATGTCCTCCCCCCGCCCCCCACCCGGTGCAGTGACCTGGGCACAGTACTGCATCTTGTGGAAGGATGGAGGTGCACAAATGTGCCGGGGGGGACAACAGAGCAGGGCGGGGCCACCCGAGTCCAGCACAGCTCATCTCCACCAACTGCATCTGCCAAGACCCTATTTCCAATGCGGTCCCACTGCACGGTCCAGGGTGGACACCGGAGGCGTGTGTCTGTCTCCCCTCCAAGCACCTGTACAGTTAGGTGGGAAGCAGGTTTCCTGTAGGAGGCACATAGTTGGATTCTGTGTTTGTCACCCCTTCTGACAGCTTCTTTTGATTTGTGTATAGACCGTCTGCCTTTAATACATTTACTCACATTAGGATTTATACCTGTCATTTTATTATTTGTTCTCTGCTCTCCCCTCTCATTGTTTTGTTACTTGGATGCCTCCTTCTGTCTTCTTTTGAGCTCCTTCAGCCTTTTTGAGTAATCCGTTCCTATTCATCGGTCGTGGTTCTGGGGTGCGACCTCATACCACATCTTCAGCAGTTGCTGTGGGCTTGCGGTTCCTGCCCCTTCCCGTCCGGCCATCTAGTACCAACACGCTGTCCCTGAGGGTGGGCTGCAGGGGCCTCACCTCCGCTCCGGTCCCATCATTCTCCCTTGTTCTGCACACGTTGAAGCCCCTCACGCGGTGCTGTAATTTTGGCTTTCGGCCGTCAAACATGATCTTGAAGCTCGAGAGGAGAATCATCTAGAATATTTCCCACTCTGTCACTCTTCATCCTGGTGTCCCTTCCCTTCTGTCTGAAGAAGTGCCTTTCGTGATGGTCCTTCCAGGGCAGGTCTGCTGACTGCGTACTCTCGCAGCTTCCCTTCGTCCTGAGACCCTCTTTCACCTTCATCCTGAAGGCTGGTTTGCTGGATGTGCCACCGTGCTGACGGCCCCTGGGGGCTGTGCCGTCCTCCGGCCGCCACGGCTTCTGCTGCGAAGCCCAGATGTGACTTGTTCCCACATCTCTACACCATCCTTTCTCTCTGGCTGTGTTCAAGCCTTTGTCTTTGTCCTTAATTTTTAGAAACCAAATGCTCATCTTCTTGAATCTACAGATTTATATCTTTTACCAGACTTGGAAGGTTTTCAGTCTTTATTTCTTCGAATGTTCTTTCAGCTCTTTACTCTTTCTGCTCTTCTGGAAATCCACAGACACAAATGCTAGACCTTCTGTTATTGTCCCAGAGGTCTCTTGGGCATGGTGGGTTTTTTTCCTTCTTCCAGTGTTCAGATTGAATAGTTTCTTGTGATCTTTCCTCAAGGTCATTGGCTCTTTCCTCTGTCTTCCTGATTCTGCTTTTAAGCCCATCCAGAGAGTTTTTTATTTCAGTCATTATATTTCTGCATCGGTGTTACTGGTCGTGATTGCTGTTTGTAGCTGGTTGTGATCACCGCTTTATCATCTTTGTCAAGTAATTCCAAATTCCATGACATGTTGTCACTTTCGTCTGTTGATGTTGCAGGTGAGATTTTCCTGGCTTTTGGTGAACCTGGTTATTTTGGATTATATCCTGTATTTTGGGCGTGATGTCATGACACGCTGGTTCTCATTTAAATCTTCTGTTATAACAGACTGTCGGCGTGCTTATGTTCGCAGAGCACATCCTGGCCCTGGCAGTTTGAATGTTAATTTAATTCTCCGGGCCTTTGCGCTGTTACTGCGGTCTGCCCTACTCGTGTGCTCCCCAGAGCCACTGTGGAGGCAGGCTGGCTGCTGTTCTGTACTATATTCTGTTCTCAGAGCCTCTGCTGTGCGATTCTGGCTGGTTTTGTGCGTAGGCCACTTGGCGGTGAGCCCAGGACTTCACGCTAGCTTTAGAGATTTCCTTCTCCACCCCTCTTCTCTCTGTGATTTCCCCGCTCTGGTGGGCGTGCACCCCTACTTGCCAGTGCAGGGTGTGGAGAGTTGGAGGGCTCCAGCCCACTGTGTGTGTGGCCCCAGGCAGGTGTTTGCGTAGTGCCAGGGGCCCTGGGAAATACCCCTGGAGGCAGCACCTGGCTGGGAGGGATGGATGGACCCTGCCTGGCTGGGGAGGTGGGGAGCGGCAGGGACGCCACAGCTTTGGTGGCGCTGGTGAGGTGGTTCCCAGGGGTCCGGGACCCAGCCAGTGGTCCCTGCTCTCTGCACCCTTCTCAGCCTCCTTGTAACTGTTGGGGCAGGCAGGTGGGGCATCCTGCTCGTCTCCCTTTCAGCCGGAACCAGGACCTCCCGGTGCCTCAGGTGGAGGCAGAGAAGGCCACGCAAAGCTAGCGAGAGGGTCCCCTTTGGTTCTGCCTCAGACAGAGGATGCTGATGTCAGAGGTTGCTGGGAAAGACACAGAGGAGGGGGCTTCCCAGAGGAGAAGCTTCGGGGAAACTGGCACAAAGGGGCCTCTCTGCCACCCTGTGTGCAAACAGTGACCAGCTCGCAGCCCTTGTGTTTCCCTGCCCCAGATTAGCTCTGAGCCGCCCCCTCTCTCTGCTGTCCTACATCCCCTCGCTCTGGCTTCTGGGTCAGGCCGTGCCAGGACCCACACTCCACTGCTCAAGAACCACCACTCCTCACCCGGGGCAAGATGAGCAGAGTCAGAAATGGACTCTGTTTTGGAGGAGCTGGGCCCTCTGGTGTGGCCTGCGCAGACGCTTGGCTGTGCACGTCAGGGGTCGGGGCGTGGCAGGCAGCTGGCTGGGCAACAAGCAGTCAGGGAGCCAGCAAGAGAGCCCTCGGCGTGTCCAGTCTATGGGAGACCAGAGTCTGCCTGGGATGTGGCTGGCGGGAGGGAGAGGCT